GATGAATGAACAAATTCACAAACTCTTGAACTGCTGTTAATCCACACAGATAATACTGTTCAGTGAAAATCATGGTAAAATTACAGACCCACACTTGAGCCCAGGAGTTCAAGATTACAATGAACTATGATCATGCCACTGCACTCCAGGCTGGACAGCAGAGCTAGACCCTGTCTCTAAACAAAATAAACAAACAAAAAAAGTGACAGATCCATTTCAATGCCCCATGGAGGTAGAGAAGTTCAAATTTGCTGACTATCTGATTATTTCTATGGCCTCTTGGCTTTCAAAACCATAAATCTTTCTTTAAATTTATTAAAGTTTTATTGCTTTGGAAAATTAATCTGGACAAATAGCTCATTATGAAAGTTGACCAGAAAATTTTTGAAAGTGGCCAGTAGTATTTTTGTCTCTTTGATACCCCTGAGCCACCTCTTCCCAATCCTAGGAGCCACGTGCCCTCCTCCAAGGTGTGCGAGCATCACCTGGCATTGCCGGGAGCATCTCGCACAGGACTTCTAGAGGACTCCATCTAGACGCTTCCTAAGCTACCACTCTCTGTCCACAGAACCCTCCCCCCGTAGCTGAGCAAATTGACAAACTAAGAACTAAAATTTTCATATTCAAAATGCCAGTAAAGCCAAGATAAGAATAGAAAAAAATCATAAATTATAAAACTTCTTTACTGATTAAAGAAAGGAAAAAGATTCCTTACTTTTCAGCAGCTCTAAGGAGCAATGATCTCCCCAGATCTCCATCGCTGGAAGTCTGTTCAATCTCCAGCACAGAAAACTCCAAGGGCCCAACATCTGCTCCCAGTCAACTGATGGTTCTTCCTCTCACAGCTCTTGAACCTCTCACAGCCCTTTGCTGGGTCCACCCTGAGTACACGCGCTGTCTTGTGTTCACTAACAGCCTGTTAGAGTTTAGCTGCCACTCATCTCATGGTACTCACCTTTCTGTCCCCTGAGGTACCTCATGTAACACTTCCCAATGGAAGGCAACCCATAACTACCTTGAATGTTCACCAGAATCAATTTTTTGTCTAGTACTTTCCAAAAATACAAAATTGAATGAGATCATTTTATTCCTTAAGTTCATGGGGTGAGACAAGAAATATATGTATACATTTTATTCCTGAGGCACTAGAACGTAATTTGGAAAAACACACCGTCTGCCCCGGAACACAGTGTGTGCATGAACTATTTTGAAAGCATCTCACATCTGCCTTCTTGCCTTCTTCCTGTTGCATCATGAAACTCTCAACTGAGAAGACTCACCAGGAAGGACAGTGAATCACACACGGTGCTTAAAAGATTAAAATTAATTCAGCGGGATAAATCAGCTGAAAATCGGGCCTTTCCTATACCTTGGATTTTTTAAGGAAAAAGGGGGAAGAATTATTTATGGTTGAAATTACCAAAAGCCATTTAAATGAACATTTAGAATATGTTTCTTAAAGTGTGAGAAATACAAACTTATCCAAATTTCTAACACTCTCAAGCAAGTTAATGCCAAAAATAAGAGGTGCTTCCAGCCGTGCCGACATAATTAGGTCTGTGCCTTGGCTTTCACTTTCATCAAAAATTCGGCTTGCAAAAGAGTTCTTTGCTTGCCTCAACAATGGAAACCAATCAATTTAAGACATCAAAGGACTAAGCTGTAGAGCAACACTGCTATTGTCCGAAGGTGTTCCCCAAATTTCATACATTGGAAACTTAATCCGCACATTCCTATGTTGAGTGGAGGTGGGCCCTTGGGAGGTAATTAGTGTTGAGGCTATCAGGGTGGGGGCCCCATGATGGGACAGTGGTTTTATAAGAAGAGAAGGGAGTCTTGAGCTGACACACACTCTCTTGCCCTCTTGCCATCTGATATCTCCTCCGTGTTATTACACAAGAAGGCCCTGTGTCGTGCTCTTGTACTTCCCAGCCTCCAGAACTGTGACTTAAATAAATTTTTGTTCATTATAAATCACCTACTCTCAGGCATTCTGTTGTAGCAGCAGAAAACGGACTAAGACACACATGAATCGATCTGCAATTCAAGGCAAAGTGTGGAAGCCACTGAAACTCAAATGGCCTTTTCCCTGGCACCAGCCCTTCAAACACACAGAGCCACAGACTCAGACGCAAAGAATGTTTGCAGTCGACTGAATGCTGGCCCCAATCCTTTATCCCTCCCTGGAGCCTAGAATATAAACAAGAATCACCCTATCCAAGCGCTCTAAACAATTGTTTTATACAAGCTATGCTGACTTTTTCCATTTCTGTAGGTATATTGATGAGAGCACGCATTAACGGTTGTGACCCTGCTCTATGCTTCCAGCCAGCAAACGGGTGACATTTAGGGAACCTGTCACTATGTGCCACATCCTGTGTGAAGAGGTTCACAGACACGTAGAACGAAGACCTGGCTCCTACTTTCATGGAGCTCTAAGTCTACATGGAAACTTGAGCAACACAGGAAACCAAGAGAAACACGATAATGTTTCCATAGAGTTGGAAACATTTCTTTGGGGGTGCAGAGAAAGGACTTTCTACAGCTCAGATGACCTCTGAGCTACATCTCAATGGCTTACAGGGATGGAAAGAGTCTCTAAAATATAATTTTCCATTTTCCAAATTCTCCAGGTAACTACCCTATGCACCCAGCTGAACCCGACGAAATCTGATATATTCTGCCTCGGGGCCACACGCCTCAGTCTCGAGACTGTGCTATCGTGGAGCAACACCGGACACTGTCCGAAAACCTGGGTTCGAGTCCGGGCACAGCCACCTGAGTACGCGAAAGTACCACGGACAGAACACGGCACGCAGGAGGCCCAGAGAATTTCAGTGTGGCCTCCCGAACAACTCTGCTTATTCAGCCTCACCTGTTACGAGGCAACAAGATCGAACGAGTTATAAAATAGGTATCCAACACCAAAATCAGACACTGATTCAGATACATCGTCGAACGGTTTATTCAACACATAGGGCCATTTGAGGACATGTAGATGGACCCCATCTTTACTCAATTAGTCATTACTTATTTACTAGGCTCACTTGCTATGTTCCAGGCACTGAAAATACAAAGATAACGAGGAGCCAATCCTTGCCCTTAGGGTCCAAAAAGTCTTAACTAAAATCAGAGTCCAAAATATAGGTAATTCATAATGAAGGGAAAAATAAACTTTCATGTCACACCATTGTACTGATGCTGAGGATCACTAATAATAATCCCTAGTATTAAACTCTTGCCACATACTGTTCTAAGAGTTCTTTGAAGACGCTTATACTCAATCCTCACAACAGGTCTATGCCGAAACACTATCGTCACCCCCGTTTTATAAACGAGAGGCGACGTGAACTGCCCAGATACACCTGAGCTGGGATTTGAACTCAGGAACTTGGCTCTAGAGCCCACGCTCTGAATGGTAAGTCAATGGGCCCTCAGGCCCGCTGCTGCACCGTCTAGGCTGGGTCTTTGTGCATAAACCTGCTCTGTGCACTTTAGCAACGGACCTAATTTTGAAACAGCTGTTACACGAGATCCATCTAGTTTCACACTCTGTGTCCTCAGTTTTAGGCCCCAAATTAAACATTAAGTTACACATCGATACCACTGAACTCTGTACCCAGGAAGCTTCAAAATGATGCCGCATCTTTCACAATTATCATGAAGCCAACACGAAACGCCAAGGGATGAACACAGAGATGGGCACCCGTTCTCACCACAGGCACCTACCTGAGCCGCCGTGCTCACCGGGGCCACCTGGGAACCGCATCTTTGACGAAACCCTAACGAGATTCAACGTTCGCACTTTCGGGTACCAAGATGCAGACCTTTCTGTTAGAACCAGGGCCAAGGCACTCTAACTTTTTTAAACTCCTAGGAAAACTCAGTAATCTCATAGATGCTTTTCTTTTTTCTAATAGCCTCTTGTTTTCGCAAAAGACAGACAACATGGGAGGAAAAGAGCAGGAACATACCGCGTACGTGATCGTGCAAAAGAAGCTACTAAGAAGCTGTGACCACCCCTCTTTTCTTTATCTTTCCCCCTTGTAATTTATCTGCCTTATAGGTTGGAAAAATGTTATTTCCTTCCCTGGTGGTTCTATCTATTCTATTTGTATTATCTGTATTGTATTAACGGAGCCCCGGGACCCCCTGGGTAGCTGCTGGCCTACTTTAAAGAAATAAGCTTTTGTGAGTGCTTGTTTACAAGGAATTCAATACAACCTAGTTCTCCACATCTTTCGATCTTATGAGTGTGAGAAAATGAGATTAAAAGTAGCTGACTTTTAGGACCCTGTTCATTTCTGTCACAATTTAACGCCTCTGACTAAGCCAAAGATGTTACAAATATAGACAAAAAGTACAGAAAGACTGATCTCAATTAGACTAGTTAAAATCCTAAACTTCTGAATATATTTTACAAGAAATACCATTTTCTCACTTTCAAATATTACTTGAACAAGGCTAATAAAATATTCCCCAGTAAAGGTCAAAAGAAGAATGTCTTTAATGAACAGACAGCTGATGTTTTAAATTTTTAACTTTTCATTAGCTTTGGCATAAATAAGTTCTTCTGAGGACTTTAAAACAGTTGGCTCTCCTGATTGTAAGATTATATCCTGCTCCCGGAAACTCTATTTCTTTTATTATTTTGCTTAACAAAACCCAATGTTTCTAGATAGTATATGGAAATAGTTTACCTAAGTATTGGCAATACCATTTCTACATAGATAATGTTTTACTGTCCTTAGCACCAAGGATCTATTTATTTTACAAAAATGCTTACCAGAACAAACAACTTTTAGATAATCCAAAATGAAATTAACCTAAAGTGTGGTTGAGGAATCTAACCGTATTTTCCACACAAATTGCCCAATGCTACCCCAAGAGGCTTATGTTCCTTTCTGCCTGCGAGTGGACATTTGGGTCAGATCTACCCCATCGATAGCTGAAACACCGAAAGAAAGTGCCAGCCGAGGCTACACCTTTCCCGGGGGTACCTGTTTCATCCGGGGAGCTGGGGGAGGCACTGTCTTGGGACAATGTCGTCCAGCTCGACTCCTCGTCGCTGGGGGCCAAGTTCTGGATCCGGTGCAGGGCACAATCCGTTTTGGCCCCTGTTTTGGGATGATCCTTCTTGGTCTCTGGGCTGGATGACACGGTGGCTACCTGGCCGTCCTCGGGGCTGGACTGGGGCTTGTTTGGTTTCTGCAGCAGCAAATCGCCATTCCCGATGACGGTGGAGGCCTGGCTCTGGCCTGGCTGGGATTTCTCTCCTCCAGCCCCGCAGCAGTTGCCCAGGTTCTGCTCCAGGTCCCTGGCTGAGGTCTCCAGGTCTGCATAGTAATTTAGGAAGCTCTTAGTTCTCCTGGGCTGGGAGGGCAAAATCTCACAGTCTGAGGAATCCTGTGGGTAGGGCTCTTTGCCCTCTAACTTCTCAGAAGTTATGTTGATGACCGCGGTGGGGCTCACGTTTTTGTTAGGGTCCTGCTGCCCTTGTTCCGCAGCCTTCCGGAGCTGGTTCTCCCCATTTTTCACCAGCTTGATGTTGGCAGAACCATTTCCCAGCAGGGGTTGGGCAGCGGGATCCGAGAGGCCCATAGCCGCCTGGATGTTAGTCAGTGCATATTTTTTCCTGCATTTGGGAGGTGTGCTGTTCTTGGTCTCGGTGTGCTTTATTTCGGCATTCAACAGTTCATTGTGGGAGGAACGGAGATTAAGGGTGTTTGGTGGTGTGGCCGGGCTGTTCCGATTCGTAACGTCTGTGGTTCCGCTGCTGGCCATAAACTCTGCCGACGTGTCCACACCTGAGTCAGCTGGAAAAAAAGAAAACTGGTCATTAGATGCCAGCCACGATTAAACTACTTAGCAGACAGAGCGAGCAAACATTTTTGTACAGAAAATTGGAAGAATAAATGCTTCCATTGCATGATACATTCTTGTAGAACGGACCTGTTTTCCTCTTTATTTCAACATTTGTTCATATATTAAATAGAAGCAAATAAAGGGCTCAGTGTGGATACCCATAAACCAATTTATGGAAAAGCTAAGAATTCTGAGGGTCTAAATTTGACTTAGAATAAAAAAAGCATCTCTCTTTTGAATTCATATAAAAGCATTTTCTTCTTGTGGCTGGTCTTCATTTTTCACAACCTTGAAAAATCATTCCCCTCTCCAAATATTTCCACCATGTTTTCATTCTATAGTTTCTTCAGGCAACACATAAAAAAATTGCTCAAAATTCCTCTGGGGCCTCAGCTTTCCTAATTATTCTAGAAGGTCGTTGTTCAATCATGCACCATAGGTAATTTTACTCAACCATGTTTAGAAACTGTGTTCTCAATGCCTGGAACACCAAACCTCCCTTAGAGTTTGCTGATGTCTTTGTGAACATTTTTGACCTGGGCTTAGCATTTGCATTGAACAGAAACTTTGAAGAAATAGCTTAATTTCTCAAGAACACACGCACACATGCATAACACTATTACTAATAACGTAGCCCTTGGCTACAGGCAATATATTAGAGCTCCCAAAGGAGTCTGAATATATTCCACTGAGTTAAAATACAGACTCAGCCCTTGCAGAACTCCTAGGAAACTACCTGACAGTCACATTTATCTCAGATATTGTTCGCCCCATTGGTGATTTATTCCATACGTCTCTTGCTAGAAAGAAAGGAGGGTTTCTCAGACTAGAGGGAATAAAATTCATCAGCAAGAATTCTGAAGGTTTCAGACTCCTCAGTCTATGAGAAATGACTTTCTTATCTGATCTGCTACCCTCCACCAGGGCTTCAGTGATCTCTGCATCAGCAGCAGATGAACCAAAGCACATCTCCTAACATTCCTGAAATTGTATCTGACAGCTCCTCCTTCCACCCTCAGGCAGAACAGGGATCTTCAGGGGAGAGGAGGACAAGAATTTCCCCCTGTTCAGGGGCTTAGCGGTATCTCTCCATCATCAAATATTCATGTTGGGTGATTTTAGAAAAGAATCACTCATTCACTGGAGAGTCCTTGTGCTCCCAAGAAGCCAGGCCACATCCACCTGCTCCAGGACACACCCATGTTTGCAAAGGAACGACCATGTGGCCCGTGAAATAGTTAAGGGCAGGAACCCAGATTGGTTAGACCTTGGGCCCCGTTCTTTAAAGTTACTATTTATAAGGATTCCTGCTTACCCGGCACCCTACCTCCGCTCCCGCCACATGCTTATAAAATTGGGAATTGACAAACGGGTCCAAGGAAGCCCAGTGTTCCCCCCCTTCTTGAATGAATCTTCCCATTTTTTGCATTTTTTATTTTTCTGCTATACAATCTTATTTCCACTGAGGAGTTAACAGTGAAACTTCTACCCTGAAGAATGTTGCCTTTTGAACTAGACCTCAAAGTATTAAGGAAATGAAATAAACTCAGATTTTTCTTTTCCTGTTAGGAAGGAGAGGCAAAATAAAACTGGTTTCCTGACATTACTCATGAGAGCAAACCTTCAACGTGACAAAAATGATAAGGACTCTCTGTGAACAACAGAGGCAAAAGCTACCAGAAGGCTGCGTGGGTCGCAGGGCCAGGGAGGCCACAGGGTTACAACATGGTAGGGTTCTAGCTGGGAGAGCAACTCCACGCAGCTGATTCACGGGATCTGAGATGCAGGGGCTATTTCGAGAGCGAGGTCCACCTGCCTGAGGGTTTCCCATGCCCGTTCAGCTTAACTGTCTCAGGGCTCCCTCGTCAATGTTCCAAGGGGAGCCAAGAGTCAACACAGACAGGCCACATGCTACCTTAATTCGCTCGACTTAGCCATTCCACAGGGTATACATATTTTAAAGCAACATGTTGTACACAATAATTATACCTGATTTTTATTTTTCAATTATACAAAACAAATAAGAAATGTTATTTGTTTTTTAAAAAAGAGAATCAGATTGGGCAGTGAGAAAGGATAAGTGATTACACAAACTCACACTGGCTAGAGAAGGCAGAGGGTCTCCTGAGAGCACAGTGTAGGGGATGAGGAGAGAGGTCCAGGGAAGGCTTCCCACAAAAGGAATAGCCAAGCTGGGTCTTGAAGGCCGGGGAGCCCACCAGTGGACAAGGAAGAAAAAGGCCCTCCGGACAGGGGACAGCCTGGCCTTCCCAACCTTATACCCAGCAGATGTGATGGATGGTTACTTAGGACGCACAAAGCAGAATTTGTGTGTTCGAGTAAGAATTAAAACATTCAACATAGTCACCTTTGGAAATTATATGCTTATTCCAAGGATATTTTCTCTGTTCAATTTCTTTCTTTTTTTGTTATTTTAGAGACAGGGTGTCCCCTTGTTGCCCAGGCTGGACTGTTCACAGGTACAAACATGGCGCCCAATCTCTTGGACCCAAGCGATCCTCCCGCTTCAGCCTCCCGAGGAGCTGGGACTACAGATTCTCACTACCACTCCTGCTCTCTTCTCTGCTCAACTTCTAAGCTATTTTCATTCTTTAGCAAAGCCTCAATGTCTTCTAAAGATGATTTTTTTTTTAATAGAGCTCTAGACTTTTATGGCCAAGTCTGATGAATATGGTCAATGATCCAGCTTGGGAATATTGGTTTAGGTGAAAAAAAGCAGGTGAGCTATGAAGTAATGTCACATATTTTCCTGAGTAACTGATAGGCTGGGCCTCAAGTCAATCCCACAAGGAAAAAATATTAGACAGCAGCAGAAATAAGGTAGCGACTTGACTATATCATGGGCTAAGACCTGCTTTGGGAGGGACTCATAAGCTTCATCTTGAAGGATCAACAGGAATTTTAGAGGCGCCTGATAGTATAAATTCTGGTATGTTTGTTTTTTAAAAGGCTCCCTGGAGCCACAGCTCCTGAGAGTTAGAAAAAGGGATTAGAGGCATATCTCAACCCACTTACTGGTCCAGACCCTCCCTCGCTAGTTGCCATTTGAACTTTCAGGTAAAAAAAAAAAAAATGGCTGGAATAAGATTCCTTTACTGAACTGAGAACACTGCTTTCCTTGTAAAAGGTGTTACATGCTACACCAATACATGAGAGTAGTCGCTGTTATTTAAAACCATGCCAGATAACTATTTCAGTATCTCTTATAGCTATCAAGGAATAAAGCAATTTGAGTACCAACCAGAAGAATGAAAACATCAGCATAACAAAGTACAGCAACATGAGAAATGTCTAGAAGTTATTTGACTAGTTCACCTCCGGTGATGTGCGATTCAGAGGAACACACATCATTTTACCTGTTTGCCAACTTTACTGTTTCTACACTGAGTCTACCTTGCAATGCAACATAAGATTCTAAAAGCTAAGGGATCCCTTAAAAAATTATTCCCGGTATTTAAAATGTATTTTTGAAAAGGACATATGTATTTGTGATTTTTCTAAAATTATTACTGATATACCTATCTGATAAGTATTGACAAAGAAAATCTACACCTTCCCCAAATCATCACAGTAAGATTAGATGGTCTCTAAGATTTGGCTCTAAGTTCCTGGTTCTCCTGTGTGAACTTAGGCTTGTCAATACTGCTTTGGCTATTTTTTATATTAATAAAAGGATATTTCTTGCCACTCATATAACTCTACTGAGCTTGGTATTTATTATGTTTAATTTTAGTTCTTTGTTGAGATGTAACATGCAAAATGCCATATAAAAAAAAGCTTACACACATTAGATAATAAGTTAAATTTTAAAATTCAGGGACATTAATATCTATTTGTCCCTGGTTTAAATCTACTTATTTTAAAACACAGAACTTGCTGAGTAGCATGTGTCCTAATAGGTACGGAATCTACCCAGATCTATCTGCCACTCGCAGTCTGATACAACCTTTACTTGAAATGTTATTGCAATTGTGTTTTTTTCCTTATTATATTACTGTGAGGCTAAGAATTAAATCCCACACCACGTCGTGTATAGACTACAATCTAGCATGAGGCCAAGAAAAGGAAATACAATAAAATTAAGGTAGTTTTCCTA